AGGTTTCATGGAGGCAACTGGGAAATAGTAGGAAGACTGCTGGAATGGACTGAAGCATAGACCATGCACAGACTTCAAATGTAAGGCTAAACAAGGCAAGCCCTGGGCTCAGCACATAGTGTTTCCAAGTTGCTCTGACTTGACTTTACCTTGTGTGTACTGAACCTACTGTTCCTGCACAGCTCCAGATGCTTAACTTTGTTCTGCAAGTTGCCCCTAAGGAAAAGTTTAGCCCTGTTGAGTTATAACACCAGTATGCAATGTGCAAAGCTGCACAAGGTATAAATCAGGGACAAATTCAATCTTTTCTTCCTTTCTTCCTGAATATACTGAGTTTAACCCCCTTTTCCCTATTCAGGCTTTATTCAAATCAGAAACAACCATGACTGTAAGTGATAGTGCTGCAGGTAACAACATTACCTGAACTACCCCAGCACGGCCAGCTGAGAAAGCAGCAGCATTTACTTTATGGCTCTGAAGGTAGCCATGGCGATGCTGTTCCCATGCCATCATGGCTTTGTACCTCCTGGGTCCTGAGGCTGTGCAAGCATTCATCTCTGGAGTCCAGCTGCCTCTCCTGTGGCCACGGAGATACTTTCACCTTCTTTTAAGAATATTTATGTCTTGCACACAGCAGTGTGCTGATTAGTAGAAGAAAGTTGTGTTCTTCTGGGAAGACAGAGACATATTACAACCAATTTAGCTGACATGAGCACAATGACTGCTGTAACTTGAATCTCTTTTGCTTTTCTGTTTGGTGTTTTCATTGCAGTGCTCCTCTGGTTCTCCTACTGCACCTCCATTTTTCAAGTCTGGAATGTTTGACGCAGTTCCAGGGGAGAGGAACCAGGCATATGAACACAGATTCTATTAAAATTGCATACATGCAGGGCAGCCAGAGAGACAATGCTACCAAGCCCCTTGGAGCATCTCTGAAGGAGAAGAGACAGCTGCAGCTGTGTGGCTACAGCAAAAGAAAAAGCCTTGATGCTGAGCCCAGAGGTCCCTGGATCCTCAGGTGCTTCAGAGTCTCAGTGTACCTGGAAATTCTGCTGATGCTATTATAACTTTGCAAAGTTCATCGCAGTGCCAGGATCCAGAAGGAGGTTAACGTCAGGTCCCTCACTTGCCTCTGAGATCCATGTGCAACCCCCAGAAGCTGGCCCAATGCATGTGTTTTGAAAGTGTACAGGCTCGAGGTTCAAAGGTTTCCTTTGAACTGCCAGCCATTACATTAAAGGATGACAGAATAAAACAACCACACAGGCAGAGACATGGATTTTCATTCAGTCTCAGATACTGTGGCACAGCACACCGAGGTGAGCTCATCAGACATGCTCATCTCGCCAAAATAGTTTCCCAGTAAAGCAGATATTTTTCTTAAAGTACACGACGTACTCAGATTTTCCTTTGAAGAAGCAAATTTGGGTCCCAGGAATCAGGCTGGCCCAGTGCCTGCACAAATGGCAGGGCTCCTGCCACACTCTGCAGGTGGTTCTGGGGTAAGAGGGGGGTTTTGCAAAGCCAAGGCCCTGCTTAACTTACAGTGTGCCTCTCACGATATCTCCCTATACTGCAGTTGAAACTCCCATCCTTGAGAAGAATTTATTGCTTTGGCAGAGGATTAGAAGATGAGGCAGGGTACCTACGTCCTGGCTCACTGTCATGGCAGAAATCTTGCATTTCCTATGAGACTTACTATCATGGTCAACATAGAATAGGCAGGCTGATGTTTCAGCCACTGAAGAAACTCCTTGACAGCTTTCTGTGTCTTTTTGACACTCTGATGTAATATTGCCTTTCAGACAAGCACAATTTGCAGCATCCACAGCTCATAAATCACTGGTGTGAGAGTTATTAATTAGATGTTTGAGAGAACCAAAGATCGAGGAAGATGCCTGCTATGTCTTTATTTGCAGGCAATTGTGAACAATTTTATCTTCTCCATAGCTGAAACACTCCAAATGCTTCAGTCTGGCAGCAGGTCACAGATGGCAGAGAGATTTAATACCCGTACAGATTTAATACTATGTTCAGATTCCAGATTTGAACTTTTGCTGCCTTATACCTCCAGTGATATTTTCTCTCAAGCAAAATAGAGGCCAGGTCTACCATCTGGAAAACCCTAATTGTCCTGCCAAGTGTAATATGGATGAGAAAATAACTGGTTGCCAAGAGAAACTGGAGAGTAACATCACTGAATCCAGCAAGTTTCTTGAGAGACCTGCTCTTTTACTGACCAGCTCTGTAGCACATTGAACAGCGGCTGAAATGGGAATGTGGAAGGTCCAGCGCCCTCCTCACCGGTGCACATGAAGGACAGTGCGGGCTACTGCCACACGCTGGTCCATCTTGGAAAGTGATGTGAGAGGCATCTGCAGCCTTTTATTTTGATTTTATTGTACCAGCCAGGAGAAGAGAAAGCAAATAAACCCAAAGGCATCTCATGTAAGAGCAGAAATTAAAAGGTCTCTGCAGTCACCAGAACAGAGATCTCTGCTGTATTTACTCGCAAGATTCTTTTTTCAGACAAAATGGTGCATGAGACTTTTCAATGTCAAAGTACTTGTGGAAGAAGTTTATGTTTTGTGTTTCATTTCATAAACATTATTAAGGAGAAGGATCATGTGTTTCCTTCCTCCCTCTCTACCTCAGAAAGAAACTCCGAGGTTGATTGTTTGATTTCCTGGGGAGAGTGATGTTGCATGGGAGAGATTACTGAAAATCACAGTGATCTCGGAAGAAGTCATTTTGTGTATCTGGTGTCTATAGATGGAGCAAACCAGATGCTGTCAGGCTTTCACAATCAGGACTGTGACATGGGTGAAATAAGCAATTCTTCTTTCTCACAGATAGCTGCAGCCCCAGTTCATTAATCAGCCATCACTCAGACAGGCTCCAGCAAGGAATGCTGATAGCATCACGGCTGGAGCAAGCAGGCTGCTGCAGGGAGAGTGATGCCGACAACACCCCATGCCCCAGCTCCCACTGCGGGGGTTACCAGCATCAAACCCTGCCATGTCTCAGCACTTTTCTATATCCTAAAGGTGAACTTCAGGCGATCTCAGATCTGTCTCTGAACTTTTAGACAAAGAGACCTTTAATGTCTCAACAGGACAGAGCCAGGAGCCCCTCCAACCTATATGAAAGGCAGTCATAATTAAAACCAAACAGAAACTGTCTGAATTCCTTATTAAGGACACTTACTACAACAACTTTAACCCCTGAGTAGCCTAGAAAGCTTTTAATGTTTGCAGATGTTGATAGGAGCATATATGTAAAGTCTTTCTTGGTAAGTGCCAAGGGGCCAAATTTGGAGCTGGTGTAAACTGAGGGTGGGATGCTGCGGCTGTGGCTGACCCAAAAGCATAGTTTGTTTTAGTGCCTTTCTTTGTCTATATTATACCTGAGAAAATAGAGGTGAAAAATAAATTAAAAAAAAACATAAACCACAACAAAAACCAAATTGGGCATCATTGCAAATTTGGTTTTTTTGGGGTTATTTGCAATCATCAGAATTCGACAAACTCCAGAAATATTTATCATCAGCTTCTATTGGGGAAAAAAAATTGTACTAGAGCATTCTGCCACCTCTCAAGTGGTATTAACAGATTTGATGAAGTTAACTCATGTGGTATTCATGGATAAACAGAGATAAACATTGAGTCTCAAAAATTGCTAAATTCCCTTACAAATAGGAACAAAAATTACATCAAACACTATTTTCTCTGTTGCCAAACCACAAATAAATTCAAATACCCTTCTAAGCTAATAGCATTTCCAGTATTCTCTTGAGTGTGAAATTTAGGCATCAGGAATGGTCACAGCAAAGCACACTTTGTGTATTTCTTAGACAGGCATGAAGGCTGTTAAAAAACTACAAAACTGAATCTGTGGCTTTGTTTCAGAAAAACACAATCCATTAATCAATTGAGAATGTGAGGGTATCATTAACTCAAGAGAATTAATATTATAGTTCTTTTTTCTCTACATTTGCAGTATTAGGAAACAGTTTGATTTGAAAATAAAGATTATGTGTGTGTATGTACATGCATATCTGAATATTATGTGTGTGTGTGTGTATATATATATATGCAGATAATCCCAGCTTGTTACATTAAGCTTTTTAGGTGCATAGCTTCCACTGAAGGAAGTTATAAAATCATAATGATCATCATCAAGTAATGAGATTACCAGCTACAATCAGCTGTGTATGAACTTGAGAAAATCTCCTTCAGATATAAACCAAAATTCCTTCTTTACCACCTACATTACGTGAGTTCAGATGAACACACCAGTCCTTCCACAACTAAAGCATTGTTCTTAAGAGATAAGGACATGGATGAAACAGATCATTGTGACTGGAAAAAAGCCTGACACTGCAAAATAAATGCCGAGGCATTCACAGAAAATAAGATTCAAGGCAAAACCAAAGTATGGTCGTCAACACAGATCATTTCCCAGGACCAAGGTTCAGTGTCATTGACATTATATGCTGTTGAAGCCAATGCCAACCCCCAGATATTTATAGTGCATGAAGGAGACTTGTTATTGGACAGAGAAAGTCACTTTTAGGTGAGAGGTGCAGTTATGCCTTTTGCAAGGGATTCACTGCCTACGTGCTGCTGCCTTGCAAGTACATCAAGGGTTTGGTGCTGCCCTGGTGCAGAATGCTGTCAAGCAGGAGTCCCTGGATGAAATGCAAGGGTGCAGCAGCTGGTGCCAGCCCTGGCTCCCCCTGCTCCTGGGCACCATGCAGTGCTCCCAGGTGACATGGGAGGGCACTTCCCAACACACAAGCTCATCACCCACTGGTGCATGAGTGCCTGACAGATAGAGCATCTGTTGCACTCCAGGTTTTCTTCACAGAACACAACCAGTGTCCTTAGGACCAGTTTGTCTGACCCATCCCTTAGCTGGAAACAGGATGGTGATGGAAGTGCGCTCAAACCTGGGTCCTCAGAAAAGCCATGTAGCTGAGATGTTTCCACCAAGCTGACATGGACCTTGAGGCAAAGGATGGCCTGCTCGCTTCCAGTCAGCCGGCCACCTCTGATGGGAACTCTGCCCTGGACTGCAGTACTTGTTCATGTCAAAGCGACATACCTCCTCCTCGGGTAGGCAGACACAAAGGCTCCCATCAGTACCCCACGGGGACAAGCTCTGCTCCGCAGTGTCTGCGCACCACTGCTGTCATGCAGAGTGGGAAAAATATTCCCATAGCGTGTGGAAGACTGCTCAAAGCAGTCACGGAGATACATTTCATCGTAATACATAAATTAAGGGAAGAGTTTAGCATTCATAAACAGTCCAATTAACCTAAATCCTTTATTTTGCTTTAGCTGTAAGAAGCTCTGGATTCTTAGCTAGTTTTTCTTGCCAAACAAAATCTTTCTTGCTGCTTCATTACTGACCCAGCAAAGTTAAGTGGTGTCATTTTTATTGAAAAAACATGGTCAAGTGTGTCACAAACTGAGAAGCAGTAATGTAATTTGCTACTGCTCTGCTTCAAGCGCTAAGAGAGAACACAAACAAGTTTAACTAAAAAATGAAGACCGCCAAAAGCTATGTTTCTGTTCTGTATTGGCTGGGATTTGGAGATGAAAGAGGCGGAATACTGCATTTTGAAACCAAAAAGGCTTACAAATATAAATCAAAATCTGCCTGCTGTGCAGCATTTAGTTAGTACTTTCCTGAATCTGTTGTTGTCGTGCCCGCCCTATCATGGGGCCGATCTTTTCATTTTGTTTATATTTTCCTAATGCAAATTGTGACTACTACCCTGGGAACATGACAAAGTCTTTCTTCACAAATGCAAAGAAGACAGGAAACTCATGGTTCCCACAAAGCAGCTTTGACTCTTACTAGATGTGATAATTTTGTTAGCAGGATCTCAGACATCAGAGCATGGATCAGTGAGCCAGACTAATAAGCCACAAGGGCTCCTGTCCACCCTTGGAAAGCGGGCCATCTGAGCAGGGTCCAGTCTGCTCTTTGTCATCCCGGGCTGAGCTGTGCAGCTTTTCCTGGCTTAGCGTGAGTTTCACAGAAGCAGATACAGGATCTCAGCCTCCACCTTTGTTCCACCACTGGGAGCTCCAAAATCAGACTCCTGATCGTTTGTCTCCAGCCAATCCCAGGAGACACATCAGCTTGTGCAACTGGCTGCTCAGCCCCCCTAATCCCCGCAGCGCCTGCAGCGCGGTGCAGACACCCCTGTCCTGGCCCGCGGCCAGCCGGGACACCAGCCGCAAGCTCGCCAGCAGCAGCAACCTCCACAGAGCAAACCACCAGAGTATTTACCCAGCTTCTTGGGTAGGTTTTGGATCCAGCAGAGCTTTATGCTCTCCCGGCTTTGCTTCTCCTATGCCCTGAGCTGTCTGGTTTCAAGTACACCGAAGTTCATCTGCTCCAATCTCTAACATTCTGTGATTCTGTGATTCTGTGATTCTGTAGAGCAATGGTGGTAGCCACCACAGCTTGACAAAGCCTTCAGCCTTTCCAAAGAGAACATTTCCCTCTTGATGCTAACACAGCCCATTTCCTGGTATCCCTAGGTGCTGGATCACTCTTTTAAATAAGACCTTCAGACCCAAGCATTGTACAATTACATGCCCTCACTATATCAACTTTCAGCTCTTAATTTCGTTACTACTATGCCAAACAACGCTACAAAACAACAAGTCGAAGCTGTGCTGTGGCTGACCCCCTGGTACCAGAGGAAAGCACATTCAGATAAGATATGCTCTGTTGTAATGAAGGTAATGCTGAGATTTATGGTTAGCATGTGGAGGGCCGGGCCCTTTTATACCAAGGAAAGAAAAACAGATCGAAGACAAAGTAGTCAGGGCTGGATAGTACAGTGGTATGTGGCCTGCTCAATGGCTCAGCTTTTTTTCTGGCACATAACGGTGTGTTTTCACAAAACCAGCCAGAATTCCTTTCTCTGTGGTCACCTTCTCACTGCTTCTGAGAGAGAGAAGCCTACGCATTCACAGGCAAGAAATTCACCAAGCCAGTCAAACAAAATTAGGAGGTTAGAAATATTCTTTAGGAAAAAGATTCCACTCAGTTTATGCAGATCAGCCCCAAAGATATGTAAAATTTCAGTTTCAAGTTGTGATAAGTCAATGGGCCCATCATTTACCTGTACCGGAGTTTGTCAGTTAAAGGAAGTCAGCTCTTGGTGCTTGCCTTTGCTTCATGTCTTAGTTTCACTAGAGGTGGACATGTGTAAATTGCTCCAGCAATATGTAAAACCATGGAGGGTATTTTTAAAAGCCTGATCATCAGACACAGGAAATAGAAATGTTGGTGGAATGGGACATAATTAATTATGTCTATCGTACATGGAAGAAGCAAAATGAAAATGTGAATTGCTGAAGTGAACGATAAAGTGAACCTTTGTTCAGGATTAGAAATAGGCGGTTGGGACCTAATTATACAATGCGATTTCTGAGTAAGCGGATCCTGCAGGAATAAATGCTGTGCAAAAATAAATCTGCTGCATAGAAAGTAATATATGGCTTAGAACAAAAAGGATTTGGACTCCTAACAAAGAGGTATTTAGAGACTAATACCAATGTTGGCTGTCATTCAAATCCTACCCATTGAAAAGAAAATAATAACAGATTAATAACATGAAACGTTATTAAACGGACGATGCCAGTAGGACTGGGAACAAGAAAATGTCATGGGGTCTCCTCTCATGCAGGAGGGCTCAGATGCCCGTTACGGGATGCCAGAGGGCAGGTTCCCCATGAGGCCTGGGATCTGCAGCCCCCTCCTTACCCCATCTGTGCTGGGAGCTGAGATGAGAGGGTGCCAGGCTACTGGAGGGAGGAGCAGCTGGTACCTCCCTCTGCATAGCAATAGAACCTGTCCTCAGGAAGCTGAGGCTGGAGGTGCCCAGACTGGGCTGTGCTCCCCAGCACTCAGCCTGGGTCCGGTACAACAAACAGCAGCTCCCACCTGGCTGGAGCTTCCTCCTTCTGCCCCTGGAAACCAAAGCCTGGGGATGGGAGACACCGGCAGAGACGGGCAGTTTGAGGAGCACTGAGCCTCCAACATGCTTTCTACATGGGGAAAACACATGGAGCACACCACAGTTACCTCTTATGAGTTTAAATCTAGTCTTGCTGTATTTTCATGCCTGCAGAAGAAGAAAGAAAAAGGGATATCTTCTGTCAGTTCGTTCCCAGGCTCTTAAGTCATGGGGTTAGGGCTGCGGTCCTAGGCAGCCGACATTTCTGCAGCAGCAAAGATGAAAGTCAGACAAAATAATCCAAAAAGAAGTGCTTAACTGTGACTATTAAGTCTCAAAGGATTTATCAGAGTTTACTTTCCTCTGACTTCTAGGAAAGACTTCGGCTGAAGTCCATTAAGCAAATTTAAAAGCAGAAGGAAAATAAACACAGATTAATGGAGATAGGAATTTTATGAAGGAAAGGAAACAGCCAGACCTTGTGACAAAGCTCCTGGGCTGCTATTCAGGTTTTAAGACCCCCAAACCTTATAAATGGAGGAGATTATTCTCTTCAGGTTGCCCTGCTGGTAGTTGTAAAAGAGAATTAATAGAATTTTTTTTCCCCCACTGAGAAGTCCTGTAGAAACTCGAGTAATAATATAATCCATAATGTTTCAGTTCAATGCGTGACATGAAGCTATTTGTTCCTTTGTTTTCAGGCAGGGACTCAAGCTGTAAATCTTGTAGCGACACAGACGCTGTACTGGCTCTGTGGCATTTTA